GGGAATAAGAACAACCCAGGAAACTACAGACCGGTCAGTTTAACATCTGTCCCAGGGAAGATAATGGAGCAGGTAATTAAGGAAATCATATGCAAACACTTGGAAGGTAATAAAGCGATAGGGAATAGCCAGCATGGGTTTGTGAAGAACAAGTCATGCCAAACTAACCTGATAGCTTTCTTTGATAAGATAACGAGCCTTGTGGATAAGGGAGAAGCGGTGGATGTCATATACCTAGACTTTAGTAAGGCATTTGATACGGTCTCGCATGATATTCTTATTGATAAACTAGGCAAATATAACTTAGATAGGGCCACGATAACGTGGGTGCATAATTGGCTGGATAACCGTAGTCAGGGGCTACGTCTACACTGGCCCCTTTTCCAAAAGGGGCATGTTAATTTCAGAGATCGTAATAGGGAAATCAGAAAAGCCGGAAAAGAGCGTCTACACTGGCCCCGATCCTCCGGAAAAAAAGCCCTTTTCCGGAGGATCTTATTCCTACTTTGAAGTGTGGCATGGCGAAAGTAAGTACCTAGAAGAGGGTCTGCTGGCCCTGCAGGCAGAGATCGAGGAGCTGGTGGCCGATGCCCAAAGACATATCAGGTTTGGCTGTCTGAGGTACACACAGATAAGGAACACCGCAGACCATGCCAACCCACTCTGCGGCACTCAACCAGGCAGTAGAGGTCAAATCTATAATCAAGGCTCGACAATTAGTGTAATCTACTCGCCCCTGGCAAGTAGATTACAAGCCGGCACAGCCGCGCTGCGTGGTCAGCGCATGCGCAGAGTGCCAAACCATGCGGCTGGTGAGCAGGGCTCGCCGCCGTTTGGCAAGCCCTGTCTATAATCATGGGCAGCGCCTTTACTGGTGACAAAATACCTTGGGGATGGATTTGAATAGTGTTTGCCAAATTATGTGGGGAGTTTTGATTATAGCATTTATAATAGTGCTGGTGCTATACCGGTGTTCCAAAGTAAATTAAAAACCCTGAAACTATTATATTTAACCTGGCGGGTTAAAGAGAACCCTAAAGTCAAGAGAAAGGAACTATAGGAATAAACTGAGACAGTCCATGGTATCTTGCTAAGAACTTTCAACTCAAATCCTAAATTTGAAGTCCAAGAATACACAGATCCCTTCACACAGACAAAACAGCTAACTTGACCCTGGTCGTCCTGGCAACCACATTCCAAAAGGGCCTCATTTTGATAAGGCCGGTGTTATGGCTCCTTCCCCACTCTGGCATGATAAATGCAGAAGTGGGGGCCAGCAAGTGTACCCCAAAGCCTTATCTACCAGGCTTTGGTAGAAAACTTCCCCCCAAGATCTTAAAAACCTAGATCTTGGGAATAAAACTTCCGCTGCCACCACCCAAATGTTGCTAAAGAAA